CTCGGCATAATCGAGGATGGTGCCGACCGGGTGGGTGAGGGTTACTCCCGGCCGTTCCAACCTCGGCCGCCAGTGGCGGTCTTTCTTACTTTGTCCACCAGAGCCGTGGCGGCCCTGGGCACCCTGGTCGGCCGGGGCGCACGTCATCCTCGTGCAACTTCCCCTTGCCTTTGTCCGGGCGGGGCTGGTCCGCTGTCCGGGACACAGACCCCAAGCTTTCTCTTGGCGAGCCAGGACGAGGATCACCAATCCGTCCCGCCATCCTCTCCGAAACCGGGCGACGACGCGTGTCACCTAGCCTATTGAAGGCAGAGGCTTTTCCACGCGCTGGGGTCTGCCCGGGCCGAAGAGGGGAAGCTGGGGGGAATGGGACGACGCCGTGTCCTGGGCCACAACCCCCTCATTGTTGCCTATCTGGACGGCCAACGGTTGGGGATGAGGAGGTGGGGTGACGTTTCCCCCGGTCCTTGGCAAGAGTGCGCTGAGGACGGTGGGATTCTGAGCCAAGCTGGCGATGATAGCCGATAGTGCGGCCTGGACTTGAGGATCTACGGACGGAGAGGCCGCAGCCATAGGCTGGGCCGGGGCGTGGTCCGCTTTCTCAGCTCGTTTCTTTTCCAGGCCGAGGCGGGCGTCGGGGACCCCGCCGTTGAGTTGGTTGCGGAGATCCGTCGTGAGGTTGAAGGCCTCCTGGAAGAGGTCCCATCCGCCGACCTGGTCGGCCGTGGCGTCCTCATCGTGCTCCCTGGGCTCTTGGTCCTCAGGGATGACTTTGCTGACGAGGTTGCGGTTTGACTTAGTTCTCCCCATGATCAGTGGTTAGCTGTGCTTGGTAGCGACGAAGGGTGCTAACTTGATTGTTCTAGCTCTCAATGAGAGCACCAAATGATAATGTATATCTCCTAGATTCTAGAGAGAGGTGAGAGCTAGAGAGAGAAGTGCAATAATATGCTTCAATAGAATGAATTTGTAACCCCTATAACTACTCCCAAGGGGAGTATTTATAGAGAAAATTAGGGTTGGGCTCCCAAGCCTTGGGCTTGGGAGGCCCATTTACAACTGGACCGCTACTGGGCCGGATACAAAGCCTCTAATGGGTTGTAAAAATGAGTAAGTATAGGATCCGATTCTGGGAGGTCTTCGTGGCCGACGAGGGCGTGGCCGACGGGGGCGTGGCCGACGAGGGCACGGCCGACGAGGGCACGGCCGACGAGGGCACCCGGGTTCCTTGGACTCAGGACCATAATCCGAGTTGGCTTCTTTTCGGCCGACGGGGCGTCTTGGCCGACGAGGGCGCCACTCTGTTGTCTTGTGCTTTCTGTTCTTCCGAGTATGTGGATCCTGGGGCTCAGGCCCATATACTCCATCAGTACCCTGACTCTGGGGCTTCGGCACACATGACTCCTTCAGAAGGTATTTTAGTTAATAAATTACCTTATACTGGACCACTTTCAGTTAGTGTAGCTAATGGATCTAAACTTCCTATTGTTAATATTGGAGATGTGCATTTAAATTCTTCTAGCCGTCCTCTCGCACTAAAATCTGTCTTTCATTTGCCTCACATAAAGTTTAATTTATTATCTATTCAAAAGCTTTGTGCTGATAACAACTGTGTTGTAATTTTTGATAAAAATCTTTTTTTTGTTAAGGACAAAATTTCGGGGACGGTCCTTCTTCAAGCACCTAGTCATGGTCATCTCTATCCAGTAAGCCTCAGCCCCCAGCCTCAACTAGCTTTGTCTTCTCATACTTCGCCTGGCCCAGTTTGACACCGTAGATTAGGCGATTGTGGCACTTCTATTTTACGTAGTTTACATAGCCAAAGACATATTTGTAGTAGCTCTAGTTTCTCTCATGATTGTATTTCTTGTCGTTTAGGCAAATCGCAACGTTTACCCTTTACAGATGCTAGTCATAATTCTAATATGTCCTTACAATTAATTCATTATGATGTTTGGCAATGTCCCATCTTGTCTAATCTAGGCTTTAAGTATTATGTGTGTTTTATTGATGATTTTTCTCGCTATACTTGGCTTTTTCCCATGCGCACTAAAACTGAAGTTTTTCATCATTTTCAGAATTTTAAAGCTTTAGTTGAAAATCTCAATAATGGGGTCGCTGAAGTTTTGCAAAACTTCAGCAAAACTTCAACTTTAGTTAAAGAGATTTTCAACTAAAGCTTTAAAATTCTAAAGACAACGATACCCTTTGTAGTCAGATGCGTAGCTAATAAAAACACAATGAACTGAACGAGCAGATAGTTTGTTGGCAGAAGATGCAGAAATGTTGGGGAAGCAAGAGCAACCAAAAACACGCATAAAAGAATAATCAGGAGATTTTTGAAAAATGCGTTCATAGGGAGAGGGTAAACGGTTAATAATATATGCACCCGTAAAAATGGCATCCACCCAGAACTGACTAGGAATAGACGCCTCAAGAAGCATAGTCCGAGTTCTCAATACTTGGCTTTTCTTTAACAATGGGGTCGCTGAAGTTTTGCATCATTTTCGTTAATCTTAATAATCAGCATTTTTTTGATCAACATGACATATATTTTCGTAAATCCTGCCCTGACACACCTCAACAAAATGGGGTCGCTGAACGTAAACATGGGCATCTATTAGAACTCATGCCTCAACATGTCTTGAGCCTAAATATTAGGTTTCTTTAATACTCCCTCCGTCCCAATTTGATTTGCAAAATTTCCTATTTTGGTTGTTCCAAAATGATTTTCCACTTTCTATTTTAGGTATGTAAATAAGAATAAAGTGACAAATTTACCCTTACTTTTACTTTTTTCCCATTAACTTAAAGGCATCTACTTTTAGAAAGATGGACAAAAGTATAAAAAGCAAGCATAATTTATTGTCATTCCTTAATCCTTCTACCGGTCAAAGTTTGCAATTCAATTCGAGACGGAGGGAGTATAATTTTCCTTATCCTTCCCTGACTTCATCCTCGTCTGAGCCGTCTTCCCCTACCAATAGTGCTGAATTTTTTTCTCACAAATACCCTTAAGCCAGCTTCTTCTCGGCCAACACCTATCCTCATTAACCCACCTGTGCCCTCCAGCCCATCATCTTTTCCAGGCGATGTGTCGTCATCCTGCACACCTAGCCCTTCCCACGGTCAGCCCTCCTTTAGTCCGTCTAGTATACCGTCTGCCGGAATGCCTCCCACCAGCCAACAGAAACCCAGTCCACCGCCATCTGCTTCTTCCCCCAGCTTGCCAACACCAACCCCACCTTACAGCCCGACCAGTACGCCCTCATCCATTTCCCCAAGTATTGGACTTGTCCCGGTAAATGTTCATCCTATGCAAACTTGGGCTAAGTTCGGAATTTTTAAACCTAAATCAATTTTTACGCTAAACACAGTTGTTAGTTCAGCCGATCCTACTTGTTTTTCTGAGACCCGTAAAAGTTTAATTTGGCGTGAGGCTATGGCGGAGGAATTTAATGCGCTTATTTCTAATAATATTTGGGATTTAGTTCCATTTGATTCTTCTCAGAATGTGGTTAGGTCTAAGTGGATTTATAAAACTAAATTTCGTTCTGATGGATCCATTGAGCGCCATAAAGCACGATTGGTTGCTCAAGATTTTAATCAGCGGGCTGGGGTGGATTTTTCTGAAACATTCAGTCCCGTTGTTAAGCCCACCACAGTTCGTATTGTCCTTACTTTAGCTATTTCTTTTGGGTGCGTAATGCGTCAGTTTAATGTGAAAAATGCATTCCTTCATGGTCACCTTACCGAAGAGGTGTATATGCGTCAGCCGCGGGGTTTTATTCATCCTCAGTTTCCTCATCATGTTTGTCGTCTGCGCAAAGCCATTTATGGTCTTAAGCAGGCCCCGCGAGCATGATTCCACCGTTTCAGCAGTTTTCATCTTACTCATAATTTTTTATGTAGTAAGTCTGATAATTCCTTGTTCATATATCGTCATGGTCAGTCCGTCATTTATTTAATGCTGTATGTGGATGATATTATAGTTACGGGTAATTCTCCATCTATTGTGTCTTCCTTTATTAGTCGTATTGCATCCTATTTTGCTATAAAGGATCTCGTTGATCTCCATTATTTTTTTGGGGTCCAAGCTGTTAGAAGCTAAAAAGGTGTTTTTCTGTCTCAGCAAAAATATGTGTCTGACCTTCTTCTTCGTTTTCACTTACACACTCTCAAGTCTGTTCGTACACCACTTTTCACTCGCACAACTCTCTCCCTCACAGATGGCGAACTCCTCACCGATGCTACTGAGTATAGAAGTATGGTAGGTGCATTGCAGTATTTAACTTTGACAAGACCTGACATTACTTATCCAGTTCATTTAGTGTCTTAGTTCATGCATGCCCACCGCACTACTCACATGCTTGCTGTGAAGCGCATTTTCCGTTATTTACAGGGCACTATTGATCATGGATTATGGCTTCAGTCCTCTGCACATCTCATTCGTATTTTGGCTTACTCCGATGCTGATTGGGCAGGGTGTCCGGATAGTTCTCGTTCTACTACAGACTTTGCTGTTTTCTTGGGACCTAATCTTGTCTCTTGGAAGTCGAAGAAACATCCAACTGTTTCTAAGTCATCTACGGAAGCAGAATATAGAGCTATTGCTTATACAGTACAAGACACTCTACACATCCGCTCGGTCCTCTTCGAGCTCGGTCTGCCTGTTCGTGTTCCTGTCCAGTTATTTTGTGATAATATATCTGCCTCTTATCTGACAGCTAATCCGGTTCAGCATGCTCGTAGCAAGCACATTCATATCGATTATCATTTTGTACGTGAGAGAGTTGCTCATAGTTGTTTGGTCGTACAGTATGTCTCTACACCTCTTCAGCTAGCGGATATATTTACTAAAAGTTTATCTAGTCAGCAGTTTCATTTTTTAAAAGGCAACCTGCGCGTTGTATCTCCCCGCACAGTTTGAAGGGTGTAATAGTTTATATTATTTAGGACTCTTGTGTATTTTGGCTACTGCTGTTTTATTATAAATATACCTGTCAGGGCTCCAATTGGAGCACCGCTTCTCATTATTTTCACAATAGTATCTGCTTTTAGGTCCATTTATTATAGTAAGTATTACAATTTTGTATTTGAATGTCGAATAATATATGGTCAATTTCTTGAACCAGCCATGGACAAGCCTAAAGTCGCCACATTTGGACCTTGATCTCATCCCTCTATTTTATTAGGGTTTATGACATATGGATGAGGTTAGTACTATGACATCCCCCATTTTCAGCTTGCGTGAGGGGTCTGTAATCGGCTTATGATTTAACTGTACCCTTAACTCTTCCTTCATTGGAAACTGATCAGGGACTAACCATCCACCACTCCCAAGAGCAGCTTTCTCCAACAGATCCATAACTGTTGAATTTGCAGCAAATTCTTGTACCGACATCTGCCCAAACATGTGTTGCTCCACATATCAATTCACAATTGCAGTTAAACCTCCGATAGTTTACATGTTTTTTCCTTTTGCACTTTTCCCTGTAATTTCCGTTTTCTTTATATTTTTGTAAATTTTCTATTTTTGTAAATATTTTCCAAATAGCTTTTTTCTGGGAAACTATTTTCCACTATGGAGTTATTTGCTTGCACTCAAACGGAACAGAAAAGTTCCAAACTTTCTCTCAAACAAGAACTTTAAACTTCATTTTTCAAAACTATACTCTCCTGGAAAATGTTTCCTGGTTTTCTTGTGTTTGGTATCTTAAATTTGATATTTTCCTTGGTCTTTAGATTTTCATGAAAAATTATAACTTCTCGTTTTGAAAAAACATGAAGTTATTTACCTGAAGTGTTGGATGTTTTCTATTTTGCCTTTTATATTTATACGCAAAACTTAATTTCCAGGAAACAAATACACAAGTTAGTTTCCTAGAAACAAATGAAGCTTAAGTTTGAGAACTCGAAGTCAACTTGTAATGTTCAGTTAATGTGTAAGATAAGATGTTGCAATATATACTGAAAACATCAAAAAACAAACCTTATCATTCTCGATGATGATCACGTAAACAGGTCCATCAAGAACACAATCAGGTATAAAAGAGTATGAGGGGCAATCCTCAGAATGAGAAGAAAATGTGCTTGGAGGTTTGATGGATCCAGAATGGATTTTGCTCATTGTTTCACATTGCAAGGTAACGACCCATCGCGCCCACTCAACCATTTGAAGCACAAATGAAGAATGCTTGCAATATTCTTCCTTGTATCTCCAATGAGCTGCAGAACCACTCTCCGCTTGCAAGTGCATCTCCTTCGTTCGAATCTGGACTTCGAATGGCAACATTCCTTCTATGTATACTACCATGTGTAGAGACTGATACCTACAAATTAAACATTAATTAAAACTTTATAAACTTTATATAGATTTAAAGAAAAGCTAAGACAACCTCTAAAGAAAAGTATATATTTCTCTCTCCAAAAAAAGAGTTCCTTTTAGTCAATGTATAACTTCAAGTCATGAAATCCTTCTTCTAATGTTAAAACTTATTTGTTGCATAGTGATAAATTGAATTATCATATTCAGCTAATTAGTAACTTTAGTTGTTGGAAATAACATGAAAAGCTTGTGTTGTTTAATAAGTAAGGACACTTTATTATGACAGAAAACTATAAAACATCATTCTTTTTAAACTTTTAGGCGGGAGAGAATATGCATACCCATTAATTTTGGGATGAAGAATGTAATCCTTGAACTTTCTAGGCACTTCACGCCATAGCTGGTGGACAATTGTGGCAGCTTTGTAGCAGTCTTCCTCAGTATCAACTATTAACCTTAGCCCATGAATATCATGAATTTCATTCATATTGAGCTTCTTTCTGAACAACATCAGATATTAATACATTTGCACGATAATGAATTCAAAGAAGTATTTGATGGGTATGCATATTAGAACGGGTGAAGTATTAGAGAAAGTGCTTAAAAGTACAAATTAATAAAAAATGCTTATGAAAAAGTGAGTTGTTGCATTTATTTAAGAACGGGTGAAGTATCAGAGAAAGTGCTTAAAAGTACAAATTAGTAAAAAAATGCTTATGAAAAAGTAAAAGTTGATGGTACGGAGTATTTCATAAACAATGAAATATTTACCATATAAAATGTGAAATACATTTTAAAACACCCCTCTACTTGCTTCTAACTTTTAAATGCTTAATTTAAACAGGGACATAACTTTATTTTGTTTTAAAACAAGACTCTAACTAATTTTGAGGCATGCCAATGTTCTTTATTTTATAACACAGTGCATACTTTAACATCTTGCGGTGGATGCTGTATAAGCTTTTGTGCCTGGCTGAGAGAGCATGATAACAAATGCCTTCATCCTTCAATGCAAGTTTCAATCTCTCCATAGCAGAAGTAACTAAATCCCCATCAAAGTGCTGCAAAAATTTTGAAGACAACTCCTTGTGTTGAAGAGGATTAAGATACTTGAAACACAGATTCTCGAGTTGTTCGATCCAACTACATACACCTAATCGGTTTCCCAGGGGGACAAATATTTCCAACGTTTCCTTGGCAAACCTCTGCTGCTTGGTCAGAGGCAGAGTATCCAAGGTCATCATATGGTGTAGCCGGTCAGCCAGTTTTATGAGAACTGCCCTGACATCTGCCATTGCCAGGAACATTGTCTGCAACTGATTTGCCTCAACAATTTTATTTGCTGTGTCATTCTCTCGTGCAAGTTTGCTCAATTGACTAAGCTTTGACACCTACCAAAAATAGAAAGCCATTAACAAGTCTACTTTGGTCTGGTATGGAAAATAATGTCTGATCTCTGTGTATTTTATTTATAACTATGGAAGTTTGGTAAGGTCTAGTCTGGGGCTTAAAACAGTCCAATTAAAAACTAGAAACTATTCCTCCCATCCCTAAAAGAAAAGGTAGTATTTCATATGATGATTTTTCTCTCAAAAAGTCCAATTTGAGAAAACAGAGTTATTTCTTCTTGTGTGACTATAAAATATCACAAACAAGTTTCTACCTGTGGACATACAAAAATTTGAAAATATATAAAACTTAAAGCTAAAATTTGGTAAAAGTCCCTAAACAGGACTTCATCTTTCATATTTCCTAAAGATGACTCCACATTATTCATGTACCCTTGTTACAATTAATTTTTAAACCCTTATTAGTTGACTGCAACTAATAGAGAGTTGGTAGTTAAACACTCATACCCCTTCAACCAAATCAGCAACCTCAGCTCCAAATATCCGAAATATATAGTCATAAGTCATGAATGTATCATCAAGTGTGTCGTGTAGAAGACCGGCCGCAACAACAGTTGACTTTGCACCTATTATTGCTAACAACATAGCAGTTTCGATGCAATGCTGAAAACAAGAATCACCGCTAGCTCTCACCTGCATGGTTTTCATTTTTCAGTATCATGCGTTCATATGGTCAAAACGTTTTGAGAATCTCCAGTTTATCAGATTGTTAAGAAAGTATAACGTACAGTAATATAAAGCACATACCTGGCCTCTGTGGGCATTTTCTGCCTCATAGAAAGCTTTGACAACAAGGTCTTCATGGAAGATCTTGTGCCTTGTTTGTGCAATCAAAAGCAACTCTTTAGCATAGGGCTCCATATTAAAGGGTAGATCATCTATATGGCGAAGAGGAGGAGGAGGAGGAGGAGGAGGGGGAGGAGGAGGGGGGAAAATGCTTTTTGTACCTCATTTACATTAAATGTCATTTTGATAGAAGAGCAATAGGGATGGCATGTAAGAGGATAAGAAATGAAGGTTTTATTCTTTTAGTAATGTTCTGCACTCCTAAGCCATATGTAAATAAGTAAATGGCTTGAATATATACAGAAGCTAGGCAATGGGATCTTTAGTTCAGTAATTTGTACCATCATCAGAAAAAATCTCCTTACAAAATCTATTCTCCATGTATGTGGAGAATTATTCCCCCACTTAATCTTCTTTTGTGATTCCTTACACATTCCATTGATCAAATTGTTGATTAACTAGTCTTTTTTGAGGTCACATAAATTCTTATCTTACTATATTCCTTCTCATTGCTTAGTGTGTATGAAACATATCCTTCAATTTTAGAAAATGCGGTAATGGGAGGAAAGTTCTTCTATCAGCGTACGTTGTAACTTTACATGAGAAAATCAGTCAAAAAATATCTCAAAATATCTGATCTATCAAAAACTGGACTTGTTGAAACAAATCATATAAAAGGTTGGATATGTGTTATTCAACTTTTTTTAATAATATGTCTGTAATGAGGTTGAAATAACAATTTCCAACATATCACAAAAAAAAAAGTCCAGCCTACTCCTCTAAATAATAATTGTACTACTACATGCTTGATCTTAGAGCATTCGCAATAGCGAGTTTGAGTTCACCATTTTAAACTTCAACTTGAATTTTCTAATTATAGATGCAGCATACTTTCGGTTCATTTTTTCTTTATTTTTATTTCATTTTAGAAATAATATGACATCATGAACTTGACACCTTTATTGTAAAGGTAGATGAAAATTTGTTCATTAATGATGTAGAAATGCAGGAATTGTTTAAACTAAGAGTTAGCCAGCCTGGTGTCGTTTTTGAATGCTCTTATAGTTTACAACTTAATTACACTATTTGTGAAGTTTGCCAGTGGGATAAACAAACCTCACCTTTCAGTTTGTAGGCTTGGAAAAATAGTTTTACTTTAATATAATGACCACCTTTGAGCTAAAATAATTCAGGGACCCACAACTTGTTTGTGGTAGGACCAAGTCCTAATGTATAGTACTCTAAAAGATGAACGCAATCATACATTGAAATGTTAAAAAACATTTAGAAATGAATGGGAAATTTGTTAAATTTGGGGAATTGGGAAACTGTTTTAGAAAATCTGGCGGATTTCTCAGAGTATCGTGTGATCACTTTCCGAATCTAATATTTCGACCCTAGGCTTGGGTTACACGAAATTTAGATTATGGGGATAATCACTCTGAGAGACAGTCTAAAACTGAGGCACCAATATATAGACCACGAACTAGCAGTTTTAGTAGAACTCGAATTCTTCTGATTACCAAAGAGATAAGGCCAATCGGTTAGAGTTTTACTCTAACAGAAAGTCATTCTATTAAATAATTAATATGGACATGTTTATCCGAAAATAAATTTCCATATTTATTTCTTTAATAAAATAAAATTTTGGTCCAGGGCGCTGCCCCGAACCCCGCGAGGGCGGCCTCCCTCGACCCCGGTCAGCGAGACCCCCGCCAGGGGCGCTGCCCCTTGGACCCCGCCAGGGGCGCTGCCCCTTGGACCCTGCAAGGGGGCGCAGCCCCCTTGACCCCCGCCATTTAATCGAACCAAGTTTAAATTTAATTTCGTACAAGTGTGCGCTCCGCACCTCCTAACTTGTCTAAAATTAAACTTGAACTCCATTGGTAATCTGTAAATTCCATTACACTAAAATGAACCTGGTGATACTAAAATCACCAACAATCCTCCCCCATTTTAGTGTAACCATGAATCTACATAAACAAGAATAAGAGACAACCAAACTTATGCGTACATGAAAATATCGAAACGATTGAATTTTCATATTAGTACATTACACATTCCAAATACTCGAGAATCAGGGTGTTCTAAGAATTGAACCCTTCAACCCATTTGAATACATGAAGATAACATACACATAAGTTCAAATAAACAACTAGTTCAAAACTTTGACACTATTATTAAGCCGAGTGTCCCAATCCATTCATAATCGTATAAAAGTCAAGTCCCAACTTTTCGAAGTGCGGCTACACTTCACGATCATATAGGTAATTCCTTTAATCATGTATCTGCTTACATTTTAACAAAGGAATTATTAAGAATATATATTCAACCCTTTTACTACAGGTCCGAACACACTAACCTGGGATGACAAAATGCATGTGTTCCATTCCTTAAGTATGAGCTTTCCTCATTGAATTCAACCTCTAATATTATATTAGAGGGGAATTGGGTGTCTCATCATTATGGAATTAAATGGACTTTAAACTCATCCCAATCGCAGACTTGTGCACTAAGTCCCTGGCCAGACCTTTAGTTAAATGATCCGCCAAATTCTGTTGTGATTTCACATACTCAACAGAAATTACACCCTTCATGATTAAGTCCCTAATCATACTGTGTCTAACACCTAAGTGTCTAGACTTCCCATTATACACTTGGATATAGGCCTTAGCCAACGTGGCAGCACTATCACAACGAATAGAAATGGGTGCAATTGGCTTTGTCCATAATGGAATCTCAAAAACCAAATCCCTTAGCCATTCTGCCTCTTTACCGGCAGCAGCTAAAGCAACAAATTCAGACTCCATTGTTGAATTTGTAATGCAAGTTTGCTTCTTAGAGGCCCAAGAAATGGCACCTCCCCCAAGCAAGAATACCCAACCACTTGTAGAAGAATGATCTTCTAGGTGATTTATCCAGCTTGCATCAGTATATCCTTCTAGAACCGAGGGATATCCAAGATAACATATTCCATAATCCATGGTTCCTTTTAAGTATTTGAATACTCTCTGAATTGCTTGCCAATGTTGAGTACTAGGATTGCTAGTATACCGACTCAACCTCCCAACCGCGTAGGCGATATCCGGACGAGTGCTTGTCATGGCATACATCAAACATCCTATAGCTTGAGAGTATTCTAATTGTGATATTGCCTTGCCTTTGTTTGGCATTAATTTGACACTAGGGTCCATGGGAGTACTCACGGGAGAACATTCACTATAATTAAATTTCTTGAGAATTTTCTCAACATAGTGTGCTTGCGTCATAGCAATTCCTTTGTTCAACCGCTTAATCCTAATACCAAGGATTACATCAGCCTCCCCCATATCTTTCATGGAAAACCTTGATGACAATAAACTTTTCGTTTCATCAACTTGAAGTTGATCAGTGCCAAAAATCAGCATGTCATCAACATATAGGCAAATTATCACACCACACCCGGTTGAATCAAACCGACTGTAAACACATTTATCAGATTGGTTTAGCTTAAAACCACTTGATAAAATAACTTCATCAAACTTTTGATGCCATTGTTTTGGTGCTTGTTTCAGACCATACAAGGATTTGACAAGTTTACACACTTTATGCTCATTACCGGGCATAACAAAACCTTCTGGTTGGTTCAAGTAAATTTCCTCATCAAGCTCTCCATTTAAGAAGGCTGTTTTGACATCCATTTGATGGACAACCAGATTGTGGATGGCTGCCAAAGCAACCAACAATCTAATGGTAGATATCTGAGCCACTGGTGCATATGTGTCAAAATAATCAATACCTGGTTTTTGTTTAAACCCTTGTATTACCAAACGTGCTTTGAACTTATCTATAGTTCCATCTACCTTCATCTTCTTTTTGAAGATCCATTTGCAACCCAAAGGTTTAGAACCTGGTGGCAAATCACATAGCACCCATGTATTGTTTTCTAAAATTGATGATAATTCATCATCAATTGTCTCTTTCCAAAAGGTCACATCTCGGGATTCCATGGCCTCTTTAAAGGTCTTTGGATCTCCTTCAATACTGTAACAATACGAGTATTGAAATCCAACCTCATCCCTTGATCCTTCCACCAAATACAGCTGGAAATCGGAGCCAAAATTTTTAGCAATTCGAGCCCGTTTGCTCCTCCTGACCTCTTGGGGTTCCGGATCTGATATACCTTCTAAAGTTTCTGAAATTTGTCCTTCATTATTGTTAGAAATCAGATCCTTAGGCCTTGGGATTGATGAAAAACGCATTTCATCAAAAATCGCATCTCGCGACTCAATCACGGTATGTACAGAAACCGAATTATTAGGATCTATAACATAGAACTTATATGCCTTGGAATTTTCAGCGAAACCCCCGCCAGGGGCGCTGCCCCTTGGACCCCGCCAGGGGCGCTGCCCCTTGGACCCCGCAAGGGGGCGCAGCCCCCTTGACCCCCGCCATTTAATCGAACCAAGTTTAAATTTAATTTCGTACAAGTGTGCGCTCCGCACCTCCTAACTTGTCTAAAATTAAACTTGAATTCCATTGGTAATCTGTAAATTCCATTACACTAAAATGAACCTGGTGATACTAAAATCACCAACAAAATTGTTCCCCGAACTTGCCTAAAAACCAGCTTCGGAAAGGACAGTCCCACACCGAAAATGGAGAGCTAAGGAAGTGCCTTTTTATAAGCTTTCCTCAGCTATTAGGTTAGACCCTTATGGCACCGAAGTTTTTTTAAGAGGTGAGACCCGTATACGGTAAGCGTGAAATTAATTTTCACGCGCGCCGCTGCCGCCTCAAGTTCAGGTCTTTGACCCAATTCCAAGTGTTCAATATTCCGCTGTTTAAAGGCTAGAGGTTATTTCTTGCTACGTTTTTATTTCTATTTTTGGATTGGGCATCTAAACAGAAAAGACACAACCTTTCTCCTTGAAAGAAGAGTTATGGCCCTTCTTTTAAGAAATGTCTTTTGGGTTAGAGACTTCTGGCCGAGCTCTTTAAGTACCCAATCAGATTGTTGTTTTGGGACATCCGAAAATCCAAACAAATCTTCCTATTCTACTTTTGCTTCCCTATGCATCTCTGAGTTCGCAAGAGTCCCGTTGGGAATGAAGAACCGCTCTATCGTGGGAGGAGTTTGCTATGTGGGGTGAAACGTCTTAAGGAAACAATGTTTACGGTGGGCTCGGTTTCAAGTAAATTCACGTTTTTCCTTAACTAATTAATTGTTATTTCATTTGCATGCACACTTTTAGTACACACATAACATGTAGTTCTTTAGCTAATGGCTATAAATAAACT